GAGACTGATGAATATCTTCATTTACATGTAAGAAGGAAAGAGAAACATCAAATCCAGCAGATCAAGCTCCTTATCCTATGCTCAAGCAGAAGTCAGAGGGCAAAGTGAGAAAAATGGGAGTTACGCACATCCCAAGTAGGAAATACTGAAAGCATATCTCAGATACAGCATTTTCAAACTCTAAAAGGAGAGGCTTAAAAATGTGTGATACTCAGCATAACAAGTTCAGAAAAGGTACCATGTGGAAAGGAGGAATATGTCTAATTGCACAGATCTTGAATGGATAAGCCATGACTCATGCCTATCATCCTAACTTTAATACAGGAAGCTGAGGACTGAAAATCCCCACTCAGAGCCTCCCTAGGTAGATAAATCAGAGACACTGTTATCTCCAATTAACCAGCTTAAAGCTGGCAGTAGAAGCATGGTTCAAGAGGTTGAAAAACAGCTGTAAGTGAAAAAAAAACTGAACAAAACCAGAAAACTCAAGTTCAAGCCCCAGTTCTAGAAAAAAACATACAAAAACCCAGAAACTCAAACAAAATATACAAAAAAAAACCCCACAAATTATCAGAGAAAGAAGCCCAAATTTCCAGTATATGAAGGTATTTGAGAAAATACCATATTCAGGTTGAACAGTAAACAGAAGGGAAGAGATCTGGAGGCATTGTTGAGAGAGGGAGAGAGAGAAAGGGAGAAGAAAAGAGGAAGAGAGAGGGAGAGAGAGAGGAGGAAAGAAACTAGAGAATGCAAGGAAGAATAAGAAAGGGTGTAAGGGAAGAAGTTCATAACCCTGTCTCAACCAATGGCTGGAAGTGGTGGCATGTGCGAGTTATCCCAGCTACAGGGGAAGCACAATGGCTGGAGGCAGAGTCACATGACTCTCATCTCCAGTGATTTGTAGGAGATTTGCAGCCCATGATAGCCCAGACCTAGGCAAGACTCTGAAAGTCAAGACTATAAAAATAATCGAGGCAAAAAGGGCTAGAAGCATAGCTCAAGTGGTAGAGCACTTATGTAATAAGTGCCATGGAGGTCTTGAATTTAACCTCTAGTATTGAAAAAAAAAAAGGCGGGGGGTCATGGAAAGAAATGAGCCATCAAACTATATAAAGACATAAAGGAACCCTAAATGCATATAACTAAGTAAAAACTGAGAAAGTTTACACTATGTGATGTCAATATGACGTTTTGAAAAAAAGCAGCACTACAGAAATAATTATTAGTTTAGGGAAGGATAAATAAGCAGAGGCACAGAGGAATTTTAAGGCACCGATATTTCTCTATGTGACACAGAAATAATGGAGACATACACATTGGTCAGAATCAACTGACCACAAGGAACACTCACATAAACTGTACGTTTAGAGAACAATGTGTCCATGAAAATCCATCAATGAAATGTGGCTGAAAGTGGAGAAGGCCTTCGTGTGTGGGAGGTAGCACCATAAGGAAACTGTACATTCTACTCAATTTTGCCGAGCCTGAAAGTACTGGGTCTATTTGTTGATGAGTATAAAAAAGAAGAAATTCTTACAAAGGCTCAATAGGATAGTTGTCACAATGTGATTGCCTTAGAAAGTTAGTGAGCATTTACCCCAATTAGCCAATATGCTCTTTAAATAATACATTCAATTAGCCAAAAGGGCCCTTGTCTCCAAAAATTTTGCCCACTTCTCAGGAGCCCAAATTCTAGCTGCCCTAATCCTTCAGAGTCCATCACACTATCAATCTGTAATACAAAGAATAGTTGAAAATAATGAAAAAGTCAATCATGTTTATAAAACACAAGCCAAAAGGTAAACCTCTGCATTGATGAACTGGTTCTTCATTTTGTCTTGTTTTTAGCATGAGAACTTGGAGCTTGAAGTCAGGGGACCTGGTACTCTCAAGTGGTTTTTTTCACTCAAGACTGGTGCTCGCAAGTGACATCCCCCCCCCCGCCCCAATTCTATAATTAGCAAATTGGTTATCTTTTTTAAAGGTAAAGATGAAAGGTGGGAAAAGAGGACTTCTTGTCTGGTTCACCAATGTGTAGGGCAACACATTGAGATTTGAATGTGAACTAAAGAATTCACAGACAATTAAAAACATTAACAAGGCTTTACTGCATCCATCAAATAGAAACCATCCTTAGGAATAGGAACCTATCCTTAGAGTGAACCTATCAGCAATATCTACTTGGAAACAAGACAGATGGAAAGAAAACTTGACTTCTGATTTGGGATCCTTTACTTTAATCACTAAACACCACTCAGGTTAAGCTAAAGAGATAAAATGGCTCATTTGACGGGTACCTTCACATCAAGATTAGATAGGAGCCTGAAAGTCTAATGTCAAACCTTTTCTGTTTTCTACCAAGGATGTCACTCAAAACCTCTCCTCTCAGCTGGCCTTCTCTGACTGTGTAAATCCTCATCCATGCCTGATGCAACCCATCAAACACTGCCAGGGTAAGCTTTGCTTTACATGAAACACCAGTGTGCCTAGAACTTACTAAGGACTCCTGATCCAAAGGCACCAAGGGGCATTCACTGTTCTCAGGAGCATGGACACCAATGTTTTTGTAAAGCAAAATCCTCCCTTTGTAATGTAAATAATGGAAGCCTAAATAAAGCTTCCATTTCACTTAATTTTACATCTTTGCATATTTTAATTTGATTTCCTAAAAGCAGAATGTATCTGTAAAAGAAAATATTTTTAATCCTCAGTCCTTTCACCTATCATAATGGTTTTCAAAACTCTCATTACAATGAAGCCCATTAGGGGCTGGAAAGGTGGCTCAGTGGTAGAGTGCTTGCCTTGCATGCATGAGGCCCTAGGTTCAATTCCTCAGCACCACATAAGCAGAAAAATCCGGAAGTGGCTCTGTGGCTCAAGTGGTAGAGTGCTAGCCTTGAGCTGAAGAGCTGAGGGACAGTGCCCAGGCCCAGAGTATAGGCCTCATGACCCACAAAAAAAAAAAAAAAAGCCCATTAGTTTGAATTATTAAATACCAAAACAAAAAACAAAACAAAAACAGACTGGTGTTCCATCACTTGAACAACCCATCAAGTTCTGGCTTTGGGCTAGTTAACTGAAGGTAGGAGTCTTGGATTTGTCCCCAAGACACTACTCAAAGCTCAGTCTCCAAAAGAGGTAAACTGACTTTTTACAGACATATGCGTACTCAATGAAGTACACAGGAGATTGATATTTTAATGTTAGCATTTAAAAGGAGAGTGGAAAAGTTCCAGAAAGCTCATTTAGTTGGTTTTCTTTTTTTCTTCTGTAGGGTAACAAACTAGGGACAAAGTAACAAAATATTACCTAAATATTTAACTACTCACTTGGGAGAGGGGGAGGTAGTGAGGAGGAATAAACAGCATGTAAGCTTGTTTCTCAACAACCTTACTACATAAACATGTATTTTTGCACACACACACATGTGTACACACACACGACCACCGCCACAAAACAAGCTTAAACAACCTCACTCCTTTTCCTGATCTCACAAAGAGCACTAAGGCTAATATCAATGGTTCCACTCTGGCGCTGCAAGTTAACCAGGATAATAATATATACTTCTTACTCCCTCATATTAACTAACACACATGTTTCTCCCTTCCCAGGGAAACTTCCACAGGTTAGGATCCATACCTTGCTATGTATAGTCCTCTCTTCCAGGTATGTACCACAGTGCTAAAATCTGCAGTTTCATGCACAAAGTGGATACAAGAAAAGTTTAATTGGGAGCGCAGGGAAGAAGGATCACAGGTGTACTTAAGAGAATTTGCGACTTGCAGACTAACTCCTAATCCTCCTAAAACGGTTGGAAAATAAGAGTAGTGGCAATATACATTCAAGAGGTTAAGTATTACCTTTAAATAAATGGTTTGTAGTGCAATTCTCATCTGAACAATAAGGACCATGAGGGGGTTTTGAAAGGATATATATGTACATACATACATAGGTGTGCATATAGAGTTGTTTTTTATACCTAGTAATACATTTATATTTTATATGTATAGTAACATTTCCTGGAACACTATAACTACTAGGAGTTTGGTATTAAAATTATAGCCCCCAAAAAGGCTATTACAATAAAAGTCCACCCAGACCTACAGAGTAGGCCAGAGTTTAGGAGAAATTAATTTAGAGGAGATTGACAAGCCCACTCTTACGTATTTGGGGCTTTGTAAGGCAGACACAGCATCTTTAACCCTACAGGAGCCACTGGCCCGGGGAAACTCGTAGGCTCGTTTACAATCTGCATTGGAACTCTGGGTTCTTGGGTGTCTACAGCGCGGGCCTGGCTCGGCCCCAGCGCTCGTCGCCAGCCCCTGGCGGGACTGACCGCACAGTCCGAGTCTTTGGAGGAATGTCCGCCAGGTGACCGCAGGGGACGGCGCTGTCCGCATCCTCCGCAGCGCAGACAGGCAGGGCAGGCCGGCGGAGGCCCCCGCCCCGCACTCCGGGTCCGCCGAGCCCTTCCCGCACTTACTCCCAGCAGCGGCCCGCGGCCGATCACCGTCTCCCCGGGCCCCAGGGCCACCCGGGGGCCGCCGTCCAGCGGCTGCAGCTCGAAGCCCCGGGACATGGCGGGCGAGGATTAAGCACCCAGGCGCGGAGACAGCGCCGGCAGCTGCTTCCGCCTTCCACACACCCACGCCAGGCCAGCCCCGGGCCGAGGGAAAACCTGGAAGCTGGCGCTGACGGGAAAGCAAAGACTACGCTGGGCCCACGCAGGTTAGGGATTCCCGCCCGACACGGGCGCCGAGGACTCCCTTGTCAATCAGCATCCGAAGTCCGGCTGCGCTCCACCGCCTCCCGCCCTATCTTGCCCACCTGCCCTCCCACCCGGGTCTAGAGGATGCCGGGCTTTGTAGTCCTCCTGCTGCCTTCTTTTCCTGAGCTTAAAAAAAAATGCCTTGATAAAACTACTAATCCCAGAAGGCACTGCGCGCGCCTCTTGGCTCGCGGGCGAAGTCCGGCCAGCAGGGTGGGGCTAGAGTGGGCGGGAGGAGGAGGACCATGGAGAGGAATTCGAATCCCAGGGATCTTGCCTCGTCCGGGAAAGAAGCCACCGCCGCGGGGTAGGTAGGAGGGTCTTCCCTCTTGGCAGTCCTGGGCCTGCCTTTCTTGTGGGGGGCGGGGGGCTCGCAGTGCCCGGCGCGAGCGCAGCCTTCTTTCCGCGGACCGGAGCCGCCTGGGCAGCCACGGTGACAGCTGTCTTGTTTCCCGTCGGTGTCAGGTGTGCTTGGGACTCAGGCGGCAGAGCCCACCCTGACACACCTGGGGGCCACACCTGGTGGAGGGCCCCCCCCCACACACACACCGTTCTGGCCTGGCCCAGCAGTGCCCGGCCCTCTGCCCACTCTGGTCCGCTGACACCCGAGACCAGCTCTGTTATAGAGGGCTGGCGCGGCGGGGCTGGCTTACGAGGAGTCCAACACCTAGAAAGAAAGATGTCGAGTGCGGGGTCTCTGGGTCTGTTGTTGTGTTTAGAGACCTGGCCAAGGAACCCTTCGTCGGGGGACTATCTGGGATGTCGAAGGGGACCGATGTGGCGGGCGGCGGAGAGGAGGGGGAGGGGAGGAGGTTAAGAAGGGAGGTGAATATGATCAACGTCCATCATCGACGTGTGTGAAAACGGCATCATGAAACCTAGTAAAACTTGAATAAAGGAAAGAAAAGAAACACCTTCCTCTGCCTCCTGTGGAATCGTGGAAAGTGTGTTATTCACCAGCTTCGATCCTGGGAGAAATAGCAAGGCACTAACATTCTCCCAATAAGAGATTCACAGAGAGAGAGGGAGAGGGAGAGAGGAGAGAGAGAGGAGAGAGAGAGGGGAGAAAGAGGAGAGAGAGGGGGGGGAGAGAGAGGGAGAGAGAGAGGAGAGAGAGAGAGAGAGGATGGCTTGGCTTTGATTCATTTGAATCATGAAGGAGAGAACCTGTATGGCAGAAACTTGCTCTTGACTTACGCTCTTGTTTTTATTACTTTGCTTTCTTACTTCCCCAAACCTCTACAGGAAGTCCTCTTTTGAACACAAACATTTTAGTTCTCACTAAACTAATTTGGATCTTAAACAACCTAATCACTGGAAGTCACCACGGTCTTGGCAGGTACAGACACATATATCTGGGCTCTTTGTAGACGGAGAAATGTTATTAGCTGTTAAATATATATTTAATATATAAATATATATTAATATGTTAATAATGAATAGATAGTTAATTTATATATAAATATTACACAATATTTTATATTAATTGCACAATATATATTAATAACAAATATATAAATAAATACATATATAACATATAAATATATACTATATATTTAACACCTCCTATTAGAACTCAACACCCCCCTTTATGAAAGAAAGTGTAATAAACTGGTTTAAAGTAAATACAAGTTATCCTTATATGCAGAAATAGTTAAAGGTGGTTATGTACCCAACCTTGCTTTCAGAAGCTTGCCACATTCTAAGTAATTTAGTTGTATCTAAGCTTTAAATCCTTAGTTACCTTTGGAACTGAATAATATACACTGTTTATAGTTGTTACTCCTTGCTGATCTCTGTTATCAATAGTTCAGCATTAACTATATATGTAGGGTAACTTCACTAATCTTAGAACTAAGTTGAGTATTTAAGACTGTGTCTTTGATGGAAGGTTCCATCTTTCTCTTGCTCTTCTCTATTTCAGATAGATTTGTGTCACAATTGAGCACCTACAAATTAGGTGCAAGGAGGTAAACAATGTTTACATAAATAGTACATGAAGAACTTAATGGCAAGGCATTATTTCTCTCAGGCAACAAGTATTTAGGAGTTTGATAGAACTTTTCATAAATGCTGACATAAATGTTTCAGTGAGTTCTTCCAGTAGTGACTGTATCTAAGGCCAATAAATATGGTCCAAAAAGGACATCAATCTAGCTATTGCGAGGCTGAGTTTAAACTCCAGTACCAAAAACAGGACTGTTGACCTTCTCCTTTAGATGATAGCATTTAATTTTATTGTATTACAAGGAAAAGCATTTTCATGGTATCGCATACAGTGTTTTAATAAAAAAAATGCACTTTTTTCCAGAAGCATTTGAGAGAACATCTCCATTCAAGGAGCTGACCCCCTCTGTGGACACAAAGAGTTCCCAACCTAGAGCTACACTATCCAACCTGAGACCCTTGAGACCGTGTGGTTAATGCATAATTAAAATGGGACTAATCTAAAATAATACGTGCTCTAAGTGTAAAACACACAGGACCTTAGAGGGTTAATATGAGGGAAAATATAAAGTGCTCATTAATTATTTGTTGTAAAATAAGTAAGCAACTCCGATGTATGAAGAATCGTTTCCCTTTTTATAGAATGTTCTCTGGTTTAAAAAGACATTTAAAAGGAGGATAACTAACAGGTTGAGAGATTTCCATGTATAATTCAGATATGATGCTTCAAGTTTTATAGCTCTCTTTGTCAGTCTTCACAAGAACACATAAGAGACAGGCAGCTTTTGTCCTATTTCACAGATTAAGAGGTTGAATTAAGAAAGTTTCCATTTTTTAAAATAATACCCCAAAAGTATCTGACTCAGAGAACAGTTAGAGTCTGAATTAGACTGAATGAGTCTCTATGTTTCAACTTTGCCTTTAGATTACATATGAAGACACTTTATTAAAACACCAAGTCATGAAGAAAACTTCCAAGAGGAGTAATGAGTTGAGAGTTTCTGATACCCAATTAAACTCTGTGGATTCTGAGAAGGATAAAAACAAGAGTCAAATAAACTTTGATCAGCTTCCTCTAGAAGTCACTTTAAAAATTTTCAGTCAACTGGACATTCAAAGTTTGTGCAGAGCTTCTGTAACTTGCAGGGAATGGAATGATACAATACAAAATAGTGATTCTATATGGAAGCCTCACTGCTTGTCTTTAAGGACTGTGTGTCAGCGAGAAATAGATGATGATCTACAAAGTGGTTACTCCTGGAGGGTAAGTTTCACCGTGGCAGTCTACCATGTTTCTGACAGTGTTTTGGTATTGGGTTTGAAACAACACCAACTTGCTTGGAAAAGTTAGAATTTCATATGCAGTACATCACAGAATGTGTTGAGCACATTAAGGAATGACTTAAAATTGAGTTACTGTTTTTTTTATCCTGCTAAACACAGCTTCTACACTATTTCCCATCAATCATATGACATTTTTTTAAGCCAGAAGGAAAGGCTACTTCTTCTCACTCAACCTAATCCAAAGTCTTCAATCTACACACACACACACACACACACACACACCACAAGTTTACAGTTTACTAACATATGTGTATAGATTGTAAATACTTAATTATTTTCTCAGCCTGTGAGTTGGCTGCTCTTCATTTGAACAACCTTACCAACCAACTACCTTGATCATGGTTTACCCCTTTTAGGTAACACTGCTGAGAAATTACCAGAAGAGCAAAGTGAAACATGAATGGCTAAGTGGCAGATACAGCAACATTTCCTCTTCCTTTAGTCTACCAGAGACAATCATGTACCCAATGGATGCAGATACATGGGGGGAAATTCTAGAAGCAGAGCTGGAAAGATAAGTGAAAATATCACACATAGTCTAAAACTAAAATGACTCATAAGCTGCTAAAGATGGTTTTTATTTGTTCATATTTTTCTCCAATTTAAAATTTTTTAACATTTAAAAGAGAACAAAGAAAACACCATTATAAAAGGAAAGATTTATTTCTATTTTGCACTTCAGTAAAAAAAATTCTAGTTTTACTGTACTGGGAAATCATGAAATGTTTATCTTAGAAACAATATACTAATAGAATGATTTAAAAATGTATTACTTTATATATTTGTGTTAGTATATGGCATTACTTTAAATGGCAGAGTTTAACATTTTCTGGTTAATGAAAATTCAAATACTTGAAATTGACTTAAATAAGATATCAGACTTATGAGAGAACTAAGTGAAAATAATAGCCATGTGTTTATTTAAACAAAAAGTAAATGTCCATTTCTACAATTTTAATGTTTTCCATTTCAGTGGAATCAAAGTGGATTATCACATAGTAAAACTATTGTTAAGTGTTATAACTGAGACTTTTTAGAAATTAATCTGATTTTAGAGTTAAAGCTCATCAGATTAAAATTTCCACTTCTTCCCTACAAACCTGACACTAGAGTATGGAAACTGCCATACAATGTGTTTATCTCAGGGGGACTTTCTGACATCTTCAGAGCATCATCCAATGAAGTCTTCATAGACATCAAAACAAAGGGCTTTTCTTTGTTTATTTCTCCACATTTAAAAGAAAAAGAAATTATTCTAGAGAACCCTTAACACTTGACTTTGTTAAAGTTGATGACTCTCTGGGTATCTAAAAGAGTTTTTCCAGGGAACTGAAAGCTTTTATTTATTTTATAAAAACAGATAAATCTATCCTCTACCAGACTGTTCATTCTGAATCTGGTCAACACCATAGTAAAAAGTATCTATAAAATATTTTAGTTAGGATGGGGTTTTCTTCCTACAAATATGTGCTGTAGCACAAAACATGAGTCCGAGCAAGACATATTTAACAAGCAATTATCAGAAAGATATCCTCTGTCTACAAATTCCCTTTGCTGGATCAAACAAACAATGATTCTTACCTATCTTCTTAGGATTGGAAGAAAACTTGAAAAGTCCAGTAGTTCATTTCCCCTACCTTACTGAGTCACCATAAGAATTTCACAATCTAAAGGGATAGCAGTGACCATTTTGTACTTTCTCCATGTCCAATCAAGAAACAGTTCTTACTGATTTTATTACCTAATATCAAAAAGTAATACAATCCATCTCTATCTTTATCTGTGCTACATTACTGAACTCTGACCCTTATATTGAGGTTATGATTACTACAGTAACTTGTCAACAGTATACTCTTTCTTTCTTTACCTTTTTTTTTCTTTTTGTCAGTCGTGGGTCTTGAAATCTGGGCTTGGGCGCTGTCCCTCAGCTCTTCAGCTCAAGGATAGCATTCTACCACTTGAGCCATAGCACCACTTCTGGTTTTCTGGTGGTTAATTGGAGATAAGAGTCTCACAGAATTTCTTGCCTGGGCTGGCTTTGAACTGTGATCCTCAGATCTCAGCCTCCTGAGTTGTTAGTACTACAGGCATGAGCCACTGGCACGCAAACTAACAAGTCCCCTAACTTAAACTCCTAAATTAATTCAAGTAGAGATCAAAGCCAGTAAGTTTATTTTTCTTTCTGTTATTATCATTGTTGTTATTGAGTAATTGTACAAAGAGATGACAATTCCTTAAGTCACGTGATTAGTACAGTGCTTCTTGGTCAGTGTCACCACTTCCTTCCTTCTTCCCCATTGCCCCTTCTCATCCTTACCCTCAAGTTACATAAATGTACATGGAATGTAATAACTACCTTTGCCAATAAGGTTTATTTTACTTCATTTTTATTGCCAAGGTGATATACGGAGGGGTTTGCCAGTAAGGTTTTCAATGATGTTGTCTTGCCTACATCTATGCCTCTTCTCTCACACCTGCCCCATCCTGTAACTTCCAGTTCCATGCACATTCGCTCACACCTCAGCCTTGAAACAGGTTGTTTGGTATACCTGAAATGTTCTTCCCCCTACCCAACAGTGACTCTTCTTAGCAAAACCTTTTTCAAAACTCAGCATCTTGGCCTGGAAACCATTCCTAGCATGACCGTTCTGAATTAAATAGCCCTTTTTATGATTCCCAAACTTCTTTGTTTATGGAACTCTCAAAGCTTATATACTGTAGTGAAGTGTCTGCAGTATTTGTCTTTTATCCCTTCAGACTGTGAAATTATTAATGGCAAGGACCATTTTTTAAATTTATTTTTGTGTTCATAAACCTAGTACTTAGTAGATGTTCCATAATGACTCATTAAATTATTTTTATTATTTATATTTAATCATAGTCAGAATGGATAATTAAATTTACATGATTGTAAATAAAATATATTATAGTAACAGATTCACTGTATGTTAATAGATAAGATTTATTAAATGTAATGTGTATTAAGATATGTGAGATGTTCGATCTTAATGTTAATATCTGTGCAATTGTCATAGTTTTCTTTTAAGGATATAAGCATAAAATAGGAAAGTAGATGTATTTTGTTATATATTTAAATAAATTCTTGAAAATCAATTCAGTCTCAAAAATAACATTATTTTACATTATTGATTCACCCCCAGTCAGAATTATTATGTTTGCAAGTTAGGGGAATAAACTGTAGTTTGTTTTTTTGTACTATTATGTTAAAATGATTCTTTCTATAACATAAGCTATGACCACAGTCTAAGGAAGATTTGCAGCTTACTGATGATTTGTAAGGTGTAGGCTTAAAATGAACCCTATATTTATCAGACCAAACCACTAGGTCCGTGAATGTGAATGGGTGGAGCTGAATGGAGGAAGGCATGTTCTTGCTTAGATAAAATACTGTAGTAAACATACATGGCATATAAAAGAAGCAGGATTACTGGGAAAGAGTAATAAACAATTGCCAGTGTTTTTAAATTTTTAATCGGTTAAAGATTTAGAGTTTAAAACTAAGTTTATAATTTTCCAGTTGCCTATAGCTCAAGCTTATAATCCTAGCTGCTCAAGAGGCTGAAATTTGAGGATCAAAGTTCAAAGACAGCCCAGGTAGGAAATTCCATGAGACTTGTATCTCTAATTAACCACCAAAAAGCCAGAAGTGGAGCTGTGGTTCAAGTAGCAGAGCATAAGCCTTAAACACAAAAGCTCAGAGACTGTGCCCAGGCCCAGAGTTCAAACCCTAGGACTGGTACAAAAATTACAGCAAAAATAATTGGTGAATACAACTTCAGTTTTATTCTGCACAATAAAATAATACTGGAAAAGGAAGACAATAGAAGTAGAAAGAAGAACAGACTAAATGAGACTAAAAGTAACAAAAGGGGCTGGGAAGGTGGCTCAGTGGTAGAGTGCTTGCCTTGCATGCCTGAGACCCTGGGTTCGATTCCTCAGCACCACATAAGCAAAAAAAAAAAAAAGCCGGAAGTGGCGCTGTGACTCAGGTGGTAGAGTGCTAGCCTTGAGCTGAAGAGCTGAGGGACAGCGCCCAGGCCCAGAGTTCAGGCCCCACGACCGGATAAAATAAATAAAAGTAACAAAAGAAAGCTAGAAATGCAAGTCCAGTTATAATTAAAAACCTTTGTATGCATATTCAGTAATGCCATAAATAAAAGATACTTTTTTTAGTACACCCATTCTGAACTTTCCAATACATCCTGGTTCTTGCCTAGTTGGGTCAGGATGAATAATAGTGTAAGAAAAAACCATAGAGTTTTATAAACAATACTAATTCTACTGTGCAATCATAAATACTAACTTGTCAAGGAAAGTTTTTTTTAATAATCATTTTCTTCTGAAGCAATGAGTCTTTTGGGCCCTGTAGAGAAGCAGTGAGCTGCCTCTTCCTGCTTGCTCATTTCAATTTAGTGTTAATGGGACAAAAGTATACAGTCCAGTTCATCACACAGTGAAAGCCTGGTAGAAAATACGTATGATTCTTTTTGTTGTTGTTTAAAAACTAAAAAGCATTCTAAAAACATTTTGAAAACCCTTCAGCTTTTTGGTGATCTTTTGAGTAAACTGGGCAGTTTCCTTATTCTCAATGGTTAGTTTTAAAACTGATTTTTATGATAGTTGGTATATTTATTCATCTTTTTTTCTTTCTCAGACGCCTGTTATTATATGTATATTTTAATTTACTTTGAAGAATTTTAGACACATACAAAAGCTATAAGGATAATGCTATAATCACCTACTGATCATTAATGTCTGCCATGTTTTCTTTATCCTTGTTTATAGTAAGCCTTGAAACCTTCACACTGTTGCTAGAGAATATTTTGGTTAGACAAGGGTTGGGGGAAGAGGGTGTCCTGTACATTCTAGAATCGTTGGCATTATCCCTGCCAATGGCACATACTCCCAAGACAGTGTGTCTGCAGACATTGCCAAAGTCCCCTCAGTGGGAGATGTCACTCTTCTTAAGAACCTATGGTTTAAATTACATTAGAACAAAACTACACCACCATCTACACATGTCATTGAAGTGAAGCATTTCAAAGGCGATTTACAAACCTCATGGCATTTGTCCCTAAATCTTGTAACATATTCCTTACGCACACGCACGCGTGAACACACACACACACACACACACATTTTATATAATCACATCATAAACAAAAGAGGTGAAGGGAAGGTAAATATGAGCAAAGTACTTTATACACATTTGTAAAATAAGGTAATGAAACTCGTTTATAAAAAAAGAAAAAAGGAGGGATAGCTGGGCACTGGTGGCTCACGCCTGTAATCCTAGCTGCTCAGGAGGCTGAGATCTGAAGATTACAATTCAAAGCCAACCCATGAGACTCTTATCTCTAATAAACTACTAAAAAGCTAGAAGTGGAGCTGTGGCTCAAGTGCTAGAGCAGTAGCCTTGAGCAAAAAAGCTCAGAGAAAATGCCCAGGTCTAGAGTTCAAACCCCAGGACAACATATGAATGTATGGAAATATGACAATGAAATCTCTTTGTACAATGCATATATACTAATAAAAAAGTGTAACTTTCACACAGCAATCATACCATCTAATAACTAGCCAAAATCAAATTTTCTTCATCTGGTCACAGAAAAGTATATTT